CTGCCCGCACCGCCTCAAAGTCCTTTTCTCACGAAACTTGGGTGCACGCACTGTGCTGCGGGCTGCCTGCCCGCACCGCCTCAAAGCCCTCCCATCGCGAAACTTGGGTGCACTCACTGCTGCGGGCTGCCTGCCCGCACCGCCTCAAAGCCCTCGAATCGCGAAAATTGGCGGGTGCACTCACTGCTGCGGGCTGCCTGCCCGCACCGGCTTAAAAGTTTTCTATCGCGAAACTTGGGTGTGCACTCACTGCTGCGGGCTGCCTGCCCCGTAGCCCTCGCATCGCGACACTTGGGTGCACTCACTGCTGCGGGCTGCCTGCCCGCACCGCCTCAAAGCCCTCCCCTCACAAATCTGAGCCCTCGCATCTTGGGTGCATTCAGCCTCAAAGCACGAATCTGGGGTGCACTCACTGCTGCGGGCAGCCTGCCCGCATGGCCTCAAAGCCCTCTCGCACGGCCTCAAAGCCCTCCCCTCGCGAGTGTTGGGCCTGCGCGGCCTCAAAGCCCTCCCCTCGCGAATCTTGTGTGCATTCAGCCTCAAAGCCCTCCCCTCGCGAATCTGAGGTGCACTCACTGCTACGAGCAGCCTGCCCGCACAGCCTCAAAGCCCTCGCGAATCTTGGGTGCATTCAGCTTCAAAGCGCGGCTGCGGGCAGCCTGCCCGCACGGCCTCAAAGCCCTCCCGGTTGCATTCGCTGCTGCGGAAAGCCGGCCCGCACCGCCTCAAAGCCCTGAAGGGCTGTAAACCTCTGACCCACCCCCAGACGAAGTCAGCCAGGTCACAGAGCCCAACGTGCTTTCACATAGACGGAGTCAGGGCCCCACAGGAAGAGGCCGCACTTGCCTCGCCAGCTTTTGAGTGGTTCTCGGGAGTTCGTGTCTACGTTCTAGGCCGTTGGAGGTTCATCACTGGTTTCGGCTGGTGGGTCTTCAAGGATCCTCTCGCGAAGGGTGGGGAGTTAAATATCTGGCTCGGCTTGTCTGTCTGTGTCTCACAGTTGTCCTTTTTCGCAGTCGTGCGGGTAGTGGGATTCGCCTCTCTCCTCTTGCACACTTTTCCAAGAAGCTCAAGGTTTCAGTGGTGAAACTCCCAGAAGCCCTCGACCTTTCTCATTTAGCCTCCAAAACTTGTATCCCAAGGACCAAGATCCCGATGCACTGACCGACTGGCTCTTCAAACTTTGAAACCCCTTGAACCTTAAACTTACAACTTACAACCTGCTGCCGCCTATCCTTTCAACCTTGACCAAGCCTCAAGCCTGGTAAGTCTTTAGAAGGAAATATGACGAAAACCCGACGTCCCCCGATGCCTGTTTGTGACTGGGCATCACCGTTCGGATAGAACCTGAGCTCTCTGCCCAGTTTTGAAAAAAAAGGGCTGCGGGTGGCTGTCCGGATGGAGCTTTGCGGTTCTCGGTTCAGAAGCTGTTTCAGCTCCGGGTTGCAGGATGGAGTCAAGAGCTTTAGAAGCGCTGCATTTTGATGTTGGGCTACGGCTGCGGCCCGTCACAGGTAGTTCATCCCCAAGGTGAGCAACGAGGACAGAGAGCCTCGAACCTCTGAGCACCTCAGCCAAGTTCCCGGAAGACCGTCGCCACCCATGGGGATCTGGAAATGCCAAGACCCCAAGACCCGAACCCGAAAAAGAGTCAGGAACCTGCTGACCCCCTAAAGCTCCGAACACCCTCCAACCCGGGCCCAACTGGTTGATCCTCTTCTAGGGGATTTTCGGTGCGGCCATGGGCGCTGGAGGAAGAAGGGGCCATTGGCTCCCAAGCAGAACCTGGGTCTGAGTGCCCAGCCAACCCGCCTACAAAAGCTTGCATGAAGGAGTTCACCCCCGGAGAGTTTCGGGAGACGAGAAGCGCTCGCTCTGCAAAGCTTGTGGCTGATAGCTTCGTATGCTTGGGGAGATTCACGGGCTCACCAGGGTCCTATGTAGGCGTCCGAGTGCGGACCCACGGGCATGATTGAGACGCGGTGTTCCGAAGAAATCGCTAGACCAGCGAGAGCTGCAGCAGGATCGCTCGGCTTTGAAGACATACTCCTTGCAGGCTTGTGTCTTCTCAGATTCCAGCGACCGAGCGCGCGGATACTTTTGCAGCAGGTTGGGGATGCCATCGATCTCCTCAGCTTCGTCGAACGTGATATGCAATTGGCCAAGCCTTCTGACATCCGAGGGCCCATGGATGCCTTACGAAAGCCTTGCTTTGTCTAGGGGCAGGGCTCTCTCTCGCATTACATACCCATGTACGCGCACGCGTCGATGCATGTATATCTCCTTTTTCTTGAATCCGCGTCCTGGTGCTAGAGCCAGAGGGAAGCTCTAGCACCTGCAATGCGGTGTGCGCTGGTTCCTTATATCCCTGAAGACATTCTGCCGGTAACCATTAAATTTAATGGATGATTTGTGGGACTCCCCCCATGCTCGGGGCCAAGGAGTCCACCAAAGCAGTACATGTGCTCTATATCATATCATATTATATTATATTATATTATATTATATTATATTATATTATATTATATTATATTACATTATATTATATTATATTATATTATATTATATTAAATATTATATTATATTACATTATATTATATTATATTATATTATATTATATTATATTAAATATTATATTATATTAAATATTATATTATATTATATTATATTATATTCTTTTATATTATATTATATTATATTATATTATATTAAATATTATATTATATTAAATATTATATTATATTATTATATTATATTATATTATACGTATTATATATATATATGTGTGTGTGTGTGTGCATGTGTGTATGTATGTATGTATGTATGTATGTATGTATGTATGTATGTATGTAACACACATACACATCATCGTGTGTTTATCCTCTTTTTACACATGCACACTGCACTAGAAAGAGACTTCGCGCGTTCTGATTGACTATCCCTGCTGTGTTAACCGGCACTCCTGACTACCTGAAGGCTACCGGCTACCTTTTCCTTTCCAGCCGTCACACGAGACTCAAGCAGTGCCGATGCGAGCCCTGTCATATTCGGATGTAGGCAGCCAAATCGAACCCAGTGACGTACCTAAAGTGCCAGTACCAGTACTTGAGCGCAGGGTCAACGATCGGCGAAGACCTGCATATTAAATAGATAAATAAAAAAATAAATATATAAGTAAATAAATAAATATGTATATATACACACACATATGTATATATGAGGGGGGAGTCTATGAAATGTGAAAGTCTGGGTTCCACATCCACTTACCAAAAGCCAAGGGCCTCTGCGCCCTTTGAAGCCGAAGCGTCCCAAATTTGCGTCGTGCTCTGCTTGAGGATGTCTTTCCTGAACAAAATTAGGCAATGGGCCAATGGGCGCAGTGCAAGGAAGCATCTTCACCGCTGCCCTGATCCCCACATCAAACGGAAAGAGCATCGCGCCAGAAGCCCCGTTAAAGTTTCGACTCACACACTCGCACGAAGCAGGCATGGCAAGGAGACGTCCCGAGCTTTAAAGTTTAGGTTCGGGCTCCTTCGGCACACGTCTCAGGCAGGCCAGTCACAGTTTAGTTCTTTAGGGCTGAGGGCTGAATCAAAGTGTGTTGCAGAGCTGCATCCACCAGCCAGCAGCAAGAGTTCAAAGTTTTGACCGACGCATCTCCGGGCTGTCCTTTCGATACTCATCCAACCCTGACCTGCAACCCACATCTTTGAGCCCAATGCTGAAACCTGTACTTGCAGGTCTTGAGCCCGAAACGTCAAATCCGGAAATCTGAACCCTAAACTCAGGAAGCCCTGACCGACTTCTACGCGAAGACCCGAACCGTCTAAAAGCCGAGGAGCATTGTCTTCGTCAAGAGTTCCGCTTGCAGCGACACGTGGCGCTTGACTTCACCCCTGGTTCGTTCCAAAGGACAAACCATCCTACCATTGCGATCGCAAAACTGACAGCATTACCATCAAACCAATCACCATGATCATCATGATCACCATCATGAGCATCATCACCGCCACCACCACCACCACCACCAGCAGAAGCTTGAACCATCATCATAGAACCATCATCATCATCATCATCATCGTTATCCACACTCTTTGCTGTATTGAGTTGCTTGCATTTTCGTATGGAAGCGCAAGACTGCAGCGCACTACTGTCCTGCCATAGGAAGAGCCTCGTATGGCTGTACTAATTTGCAGACGATACTGCTGGACTATTTCTACACCGCAACATGGCTATGTCTGCATGCTACGACCATGCGACATTGAGTTCACGTGTTCACTATGCTGAGCTGAATCGTGCTACAAATTGGAAACGACTACGATCGGGCCAAGATAATAAGAAGTGTACATGTCACGGTTTGCAGATGCGCTCTTATTACGCTAATTCACGTACGAACCTTGTACTGCTGAACATGCAAGCGAGTCAGGGTGCATAATCGCTTGATGGTAAAGCCGGCCAAAAATCGCTTGATGGTAAAGCCGGCCAAAGGAGTATTCCAATACCACACACACAAGCAGGGCTTAGATGTGTATCCAGATCCGGTGCAGGAACCCCTTCCCACCCCAACAAACCCAGCAAAAAAAAAAAGAAACAAATGCTCATCATGAAATGCCATGAAAGTGACTGCAGCCGGTCCAACTTTGCAGTGCGCTGACTGTCCGACTGGATGTCGGTAAGCTTGTTGCCTGGAGCCGATCTGGGGTCTTCCAGAGCTCACACTGTGCTACACACCACCAGTCAGGACATGGGGTCCATGCCTTAACTCAAAGAGTCGCACCATGGGTTCTTCGAGGCTTGGGAATCGTATGATGGGGACAAGCCTAGTCGGTGATTTGGAAAGCAGGTGCTTGTACAGCTTAGGGTGCTTGAGCTTCGTTCAACAAAGCGGCAGCCCCACGAACTCTCGCAAGGACGCCCCTTCTTGTGAAGCTTAGTCACAGTCACTCGTCCCTCAGCCCTGAACCTCCAAAACCAACACAAACCTGAGCCATAAACTTCAAGCGCTCAAGATCTTCACCCCTGCAGCCCGCGGCCGTGCAACCTGGAATCCTGAGGCAGGCACGAATTTCGTTCAATGCGTCCTCGAAGCCGTCCGGGCCCTTCCTGGGGCTTGGTTTTGGATTGAGGTTCTGGGTTCAAGCTCTGTGAGTTTCAAGGAGTGTTCGACTCTCATAGCCTCCTCGCAGACTAGGTGAGGATGATGAGGGAAGCAAGTCTCGCTCGAGGCAGCATGGCGTTGAATGCACTGCGGCTGCATGGCCGTAGTCTAGCTTGTCTAGCAGCAAAATACGGCTCTGGCCGGATAAGAATGACCAGCGAGCTTTTTTGTGAAGCCTGCCCTCTGCGGACGTCTATCGGAAAATCCGGCGGGCTTATTGG